ATCACTTGCAATCAGGGAAATGCAAATCAAAACTACCATGAGATACCATCTCACACCAGTGAGAATGGCACATATTAAAAAAACTAGCAACAACAAATGTTGGCGAGGATGTGGAGAAAAAGGAACTCTTGTGCACTGTTGGTGGGAGTGCAAACTGGTCCAACCACTATGGAGAGCCGTGTGGAGATTTCTGGACCTACTAAACATAGAGCTTCCATATGATCCAGCAATTCCACTCCTAGGTATTTACCCAAAGGACACAGAAACATCAATTCCAAAGAGCACCTGCACTCCTATGTTTATAGCAGCACTGTTTACAATAGCTAAGCTTTGGAAACAACCCAAATGCCCAAAAATAGATGACTGGATCAAGAAGATGTGGTACATATATACCATGGAATATTACTCAGCATTCAAAAAAGATAAACACATGCAATTTGCAGCAACATGGATGGCACTGGAAGGGATCATGCTCAGCGAAATAAGCCAAAAAGAAAAAGAAAAATACCGGATGGTCTCACTCATAGCAGGAATCTAGAAAACTTAAATAAGGGACCAGGAAAATGAATATAAGAAAGTGAAAATCAAAATCAACAAAAAACTATGAACCAGAGACCCTTTTTGGGGGGTGGGGTCGGGAGGGGAAGGATTGGGGTCAGAATGGGGCGTTTGCAATTGTATGGGGGAATATAAAAATAAAATTTAATATTTAAAAAAAAAATAAATTGCTTCAAGTTTAATATTAAAAAAAAAAAATGAAAAGGCATCCTAATGAATGTAAGACGATATCTACATATCATGTACATGACAAGGGGTTATTACCCAAAATACATAAAGAATTCATGTAACAAAACCCAAATCACCCTTGAAAAATGGGAAGAGGATCTGAATAGATATTTCTCCAACAAAGACATACAAATGACCAACAGGCACATGAAAAAATGTTTATCAACTTTTATTGTGAGGGAAATGCAAATCAAAACAATAGTCAGGTTTCCATATCTGTGAAAATGACTATTATTTTTAAAAGACAAGAAATAACAAGTGTTGGAAGGACATGGAAAGAAGAGAAACCCTCGTACACTGTTGAGAATGTAAATTGGTGGAACTATGGAAAACAGAATGGAGAGTCTTCAAAAAATTAAAAATAGAAAGTTCATATGATCCAGTTATCCCACTTCTGGGTATTTACCTGAAAAATATAAAAATACTAATTTGAAGAGATATGTGTAACCCCATGTTTATTGCAACATTATTTATAGTAGCCAAGAGTTGGAAATAGTAGCCAAGAGTTGGACAGATAGTTGAATATTATTCAGCTATAAAAATGAAAAAATAAACATAAAACATTGGTTACTCCAATTAAAAAAATTGAAAAAAAAAAAACAGATCAGGGAAGTTCTTTGAGGAATAAGGACAGAAGAAAACATGGCAATTTACTTGGAAGTAAGAACTTCCAAGTATAAAGTTGGAAAATGAATGATAATGCTTAATGCTTTCACACTCTCTCACCAGCATTCAAACACACACACTCTCTCTCTCTCATTCTCTCTCTCACTTTATCCCTACCCCCACTTCCTCCTTGCCCCTTTATCCACTTTTATCCCTGAGTGCGAAGTCATGCTCAGTGACCTGTGGTTCTCTGCACTCTAGATCAGGGTGATAGCATTCTGTGGGAGTAAATGTGGCTGTCCCAGGCAGAGGCTGGGAATGTGGTGCACAATGAAGACTCTCCTATATTTTGCAGTCTCCCCTTCCCCTGCTGTCTGTTAAAGAGAAACAAAAATAAATACAATTTGAATTTCATATGAAAATGATTAGAAGCATAAATATTGCCAATGAAATATGTCATTACTGCTCAAAAAATATCACCAAAAAGCTACAGAAGTAGGTTTTGTCATTATAGTAAAAACCACCATAATTTTATTTTGAAATAATTTTCCCTCCCATTTCCTTGTAATTTCCAAGTAAATAATTAAAGTTTGGTCAACCCTGCCCACCTAACCCCATCATTAAATCTTTTCACACTATTACTTTCATTCTTGTAGGTAAAATAATTCAAGAGTGAATCAGAGAACCCAAACTCTTGAACTTTACTTTCAAATCCTGTTCAAATTTGAGAATGAGTCACAGGGCATTTTTTTTTATTATTAATTCAATTCTTTACATCTTTGCTAATATTTTGACAATATAGGATTTCTTCCAGTAGGTGTGGTCATAGTAACTCTTCCACTATCAAAGCACCCAGTCTTCCACCGTGGCTGTTGTCCTCTTCCCCACCATCCTTCTCATGCCTTCCTTCTACTCTCTTGGATGACTCTGATCTATGGTCATTTTTTCAAGGATTGGTTTCATAGTTTGTTTGCATTTTTGTTTGGTTTCTCCATATTCTATATATAACTGATACCATCCGGTATTTGTCTTTCTCCTTCTGACTTATTTCACTTAGCTTAATCTTTAGGGGCAACCATGTTACTGATATTTTGGTCAGCTTTGATGATCATATTACCTAGAGAGGAACATTCTCTTTCAATTAGAAAGAGAATTAGAAAATTCTCCAATTAAAAAATTGGAGTTCTTTCTTCTAATCAGAAGTAAAAGGACTCTTGATGAGATTTAGTAAATCTTTAAAAACTGAAAAAAAATACCCCAAATATGTATATTTTATTTTCTTCAACCTTTCATAAAGGCTCTATGCTTTCTAATGGGTTGTTTTTAAACTCTTTGGGTATGTAGGATCTTTAAAGATTTTGTGTATTTAATAGAATTACCTCTTTGATACAGCACATAAGCAAGAGTTGTCTTCCAGAGACACATTCTCTATAACTGAGAGGAACTAAATATATTAATGATGGAAGAAGGAAGAAGAATAGATGGACCAGTGATTTTTTTCTTGCACACACAATTTATAGTCACTGGTGTCATCTTGATATTAAACTGCCTGATTTCTTTCCATTTTGTGTACTTTATTGCACAAGTAGATAAAAATAATTGCTGATTTGGCTAAAACCAGTGAAAAAATATTTTGTGAGTCCTAGTTTAGTGAATGACACATGCAAGCCAATTTGAACCAAGAAATTTTTGATGTATAAAAAGTTTTATACATACCATTTACTGAAATACACAATAGAAGGAAAGAAAAAGTATATTAAAAGTGTTTCTAATCTAGGCTAATTATGGTCAAGGCAAAGAATCTCTACCTGGTTGAGCAGGACAGTTAGAACTTTCTTCCTTTCCAGAAGATAGGTTTTTTGCCCCATATGCTAATCTTGGTGATTGAATTCCAAGAATACCCTACAGGAGACAATGTATGTAAGTGTGTTCAAAATTGTGAAGAGGGAATGCATCCCAAGTTCTTGCTTAACTGAGAACCCTTTGCTAAATATTTAAAAGTGAAAACAATCTTTCAATATAGGCATATGGGCCTGGAAAGCATAGAAATTTGTAAACACATCACACAGGTAAGCAGCAAAGGCAAAAGCTGGGACTTGGCTTTGTTGTTTCTCAGACCTCAGCTGTCTCCTCAAACACTTACATCTTATATTTGATGGCATTCTGCTTCTTAACATTGGTGAGACCCATCTCATTAACTTTACTTTGCTCATTTCTCAAGTCATGAGCTTCCTGGTGGCAAAATATTTCAAGGTCCAGTGTGGCCCGACCTGGACTTTCTTCCTTGTTTTGCCATTAGCAGCTATAGGACCTTGAACAAGAAACCTGCTTTTTACAAAATCTAGGTTCTATATCTGTAACTAGGATATATTAGTAACTATTTAAACATATAAAACATGTCTTCCATAGAGAAGATCTTAATAAATGTTAATTTTATTCTACAATTTTAAGATCAGTTGTCATATGGAAACAATAAGAAATGATGAATTTGGAGTGAAAAATGTAGATGTAAGCACTATATAATGCAAAATAAGGATAAGGCAAATCTGGAGGTGGATATTTTATTTATAAAATTAAAGCTAAATTTATATTATAAAAATGCTACATGCTCATATCTGGTTTAACTTCAAAATACATATTTGATTTTTTTTAAACAACATGCAAATTATTTTGGCATGCTAAGCATCTTTCTCTAGTTATCCCTGGAAGTTTTTTTTCACAACATAAATAAAGATGTAAATATTGTCCAGAAACTAAAAAAAAAAGCAAACAAACAAACAAAAAAACTACTGAATTGCTAACATTAGTATTTGAGAGTAAATATAAACTGCAAGATTTTTCTTTGGCATTCACATTTGATTCAGCAAGATAATTAAAAATTGTATTTGTTTTCTAAGATAAATGCTTTGAAGAAAATTTAATAAACTTGTTTAATAAACTTGTATATAAGGGTGTTGCAAAGGAGCCACTATAAAAAAAGCATTTAACTACAGCTGTTGAGTTGCTGCTGATAGAATTATCACTTCCAGCCTGTTTTATTACCTTTTCTTCTTGAGTCCAATACATGCTTTCCCCACTCCACCCCCAAGTGCTCAGTGAAAGAAATTTCTTTTCTCTTTTTCTCTCCAATATCATGCAAGGCAGGGCAGCATCACAAGTCACAATATCTGAGTTTACTTTGATTATATTTTGTTTCTTACAATTAAAATTATTTTGTAATTTAATACTTCCTGGGTTATCTAAAATCAACATTGTTGATTTCAAACTGTCATACAGTCAGGCATTTAAAGGAATTTGAAAGAATTCATGAAGCATCTAAAAGGAATAATTGCTCTAGCCGATTATTTTGTTTTTTACTTCAATTAAAATAATTTTAGGTATTAGCAACTTATTAGAAAATAAGACTTTAGGGGTCCTATATAATTTATTCACACCTTTCCATATATTGTAAACAAGGATAGGATACTTTTGATAGTAGCCTATGAGCAATTTTTTAAAAAATATGCACTTTACTATAGAATAGGTATCAATGGAGCCTTTTAAATATGATTCTGGTAGACCTTTTATAAGCCTACTTTCTAGAAAACTTTTATATGAAATTTGCCATTTTAAAAAATCTAAAGCTGTATGCTTAATTTAGGAGCATATTGTAGCGAGGTAATGACACTATATATCCCATGGTCTGATGTACAATGCAGCATGTACAAAAGAACCTAAAGAGACACCTCAAGTTTCAGGGAGGATATAATAGTGCATAGAGAAGAGAGAATTTTTCAGGTCAGATAGTGAAAAAAGATACAGTATTTACCTAAATCAGTAAGTTGCAAACAACATATACATATGCAATGCCAATTCACAGAATGCGAACAAGATCAATTAGATATTGTACTATGGTAGCCACATATTTTGGAGAAAAATTCCCAAGCCAGGCGAATGTGGATTGGGATAAAGACATAGGCAGTGTACACCACCATAGCAAAAACGGTTAGTAAAATGGTATTGAACATGGATCTCTCCCAGGGCTCCAAGACAGCACAGCAGCTAATGATTTGGTATTGATAGTAGAGCCAGGAGAAATAGTCCTTCACACGCCTGAAATCCATGGTTGGCTCTTTCAAGCTGCCAAGAGTTTGTCCTGGTAAAGAAGAAAACAGATTAAAAGACAAATAAAATAAGGAATCAGAGTATCTCCTTAGATTTTCATGATCATGGCAAGTTAAAACATTCAAAGAATGATAATTATCATTAAATTGATTATTATGAATATTATATAGAAATAATGTACAATATATTAATTATAGAATTTAATAATATATTCACCATTAATGACCATTACTAGTAGAAGTACAACAAAATTATTAATAATACTAATGTTTATCTTAAAATGATCATTGCTGGTAATAATTCAAATGATAATAATACCTAAAAACTGAGGCCAACCATTATTTCCTCTAGCCACACGTACAGAGGTAGTCACCAAGGGATTGCTGAGGGTCCCCAATGTAGAGCAAAGTCCTGCAAGTCCCTGTCTGGGGCATCAGTGTAATTCCTCTTTTCACAGAAAGAAACCACATTTACAGAAAGAGATAAATGTAAATTATCTATTTCTTAAAACATGCATTTCAGAAAAAGATTTAAAGAATGGGTACAGCAAGTCTGTTATGTTTGCTTGCAAATTTGAACTTTGCCTGCCTTATAGGAACTTGGCTTTTGGAATGTTATAATCTTATCTATGGATAAGGATGATTCACTATGTTAGCCTGTGCAAACATTGTCATGTATGGTGAACACCTGCTTTATTCTGGGAGACTGGAATCTCAATAATTGATAGGCAAAGGGTGTCCACATGAACAGTGCCAATAAAAATATTGGTCTTTTTTTCTAATTTTTTTTTAAGATTTATTTATTTATACAAGCACTGGGTACTGTCAGAAGCATGGGAGGGTGAGAAAATTCACCAGAGCCAGAGCAGGGAACTGAACAGGCAGAAGGACCGAAGTACACTGCTGAGGGGAGCAGCGAGCGCAAGGAGAGGTCTGCGAGCCATTTGGGACCCTTGCCTGGTGGCCGGGGATCGAACTGGCGCTGCAGAGGCTGTGGGCAGCTTCGCAGCGGAACGCTCAACCCCTGTGCCACCGGGGAGGCCCCCTATTGGTCTTTTTTTTTTTTTTTTTAATCTTAAATTTTATTTTTATATTCCCCCATACAATTGCAAACGCCCCATTCTGACCCCAATCCTTCCCCTCCCGCCCCCCACCCCCCAAAAAGGGTCTCTGGTTCATAGTTTTATGTTGATTTTGATTTTCACTTTCTTATATTCATTTTCCTGGTCCCTTATTTAAGTTTTCTAGATTCCTGCTATGAGTGAGACCATCCGGTATTTTTCTTTTTCTTTTTGGCTTATTTTGCTGAGCATGATCCCTTCCAGCGCCATCCATGTTGCTGCAAATTGCATGTGTTTATCTTTTTTGAATGCTGAGTAATATTCCATGGTATATATGTACCACATCTTCTTGATCCAGTCATCTACTTTTGGGCATTTGGGTTGTTTCCAAAGCTTAGCTATTGTAAACAGTGCTGCTATAAACATAGGGGTGCAGGTGCTCTTTGGAATTGATGTTTCTGTGTCCTTTGGGTAAATACCTAGGAGTGGAATTGCTGGATCATATGGAAGCTCTATGTTTAGTAGGTCCAGAAATCTCCACACAGCTCTCCATAGTGGTTGGACCAGTTTGCACTCCCACCAACAGTGCACAAGAGTTCCTTTTTCTCCACATCCTCGCCAACATTTGTTGTTGCTAGTTTTTTTAATATGTGCCATTCTCACTGGTGTGAGATGGTATCTCATGGTAGTTTTGATTTGCATTTCCCTGATTGCAAGTGATGTTGAACATTTTTTCATATGTCTGTTGGCCATTTGCATTTCCTCTTCAGAGAAGTTTCTTTTTAGCTCTTCTGCCCATTTTTTGACTGGATTATTTTCTTTGTTGTTGCTGAGTCTCATCAGCTCTTTGCAGATTTTTGTGATCAGTCCTTTATCACTAGTGTTGGGTGCAAAAATGTTCTCCCAGTTGGTGGGGTTTCTCTTTGTTTTTGTTATTGTCTCTTTTGCTGTGCAGAAGCTCTTTAATTTGATGTAGTCCCAGCTGTTTATCTTTGTCTTCACTATCACTGCTTTGGGTGATGTGTCTGTAAAGATGTCTTTGATGTGCAAATCCCGTAGTGTTTCACCTATATTTCCTTCTATGTATTTTATGGTTTCAGGTCTTATGTCTAGTTCTTTAATCCATTTTGAGTTGATTTTTGTGTATGGTGTGAGGTAGTGGTCAAGCTTCATTCTTTTGCATGTAGCGACCCAGTTTTCCCAGCACCATTTATTGAACAAACTTTCTTTGCTCCAATGCATAGTCTTTGCTCCTTATTGGTCTTTTTAATGGGCTTCCTGAGCAAAAACATTGCTTTAAATAAGAAACTAAAAGAACTGTAGGATGTTCAAATATCAATGGAGGAGCTAAAATTCTGGTGAAAATGCATGAAAGTGGAAAAAATGATATGGAAGAACAAATCAGTATTCTCAAAGATACAAATAAAGATATGAAAATAATCAAGAAAGAAAAGGAGCGAGAGAGGACCTCCCCTGTGGCGCAGCGGTTGAGCACTGGGTTGCGAAGCTGCCCGCAACCTCTGTGGCGCTGGTTCGATCCCCGGCTGCTCCCCGGACACCGGAGGAGGGTCCCACATGGCTCGCAGACCTCTCCTGCCACCAGCTTCTCCCCTCAGCAGTGTACTTCAGTCCTTCTGCCTGCTCTGCTCCCCACTGCTCTGGCTCTGGTGAATTCTCTCACCCTCCCTCGCTTCTGACTGTACCCAGTGCTTGTATAAACAAACAAACAAACAAATAAAATAAATAAATAAATAAAACATGCCTCTATTAAAAAAGAAAGAAAGAAAGAAAGAAAGAAAAGGAGCGAGAGGTACAAAGGAAAAAGAATGAAGAAACACTTTCAGAATTATCTGACACCCTGAGGAAAGGAAATATAAGAGTCATGGGAATCCCAGAAGGAGAAGAGACAGGGGAGCTGAAAAACTATTCAAGGAAATAATTAAAAAGAACTTCCCAAGCTTGAGAAGGAAATGAAAACAGACATACAGGAAGCTAGAAGGATGCCAAATTATCATAATTAAAGGAAAGCTACACCATAGTTCACCATCTCTCAGTTTCCCAGACCCTATTCTTCCTTTACTTAAGGCTTTTTCATGAAATCCCAAAGTTCAGGTTCTCCTCTAGCCAAATGAAAAGACTGAATGCCTTTTAGTGCAAATATTACTGAGAATTAGTTAAAGCTAAGGTTTTTTTTTTTTTTTTTAGTAATGTATGTAACATATATAAAAGACCCAAAGCAGAGTTTTGACAAGTTGAGGAGAGGAAGAGGAAGAAGGATTATTAGAATATGGGGAACCAGAAGGAGAGAGAAATTAATCCTACAAAAAACTCTGTGAATAAATATGGACACTGAGTCAGTGCAAAATAGAAAGGGCTTGAAAATTCCCTAACAAGTTATCTCAGATTTGATTGGAAAATGAGTGACTATTTTTAATTTCTGAGATTCACTTCCCTTTCACTAATGGGAAATTTATTTTCTATATTATATTTGTGTACTGTGGGGAAGAAGATAACGTTATATCTCCTCCCCTAAAATGAAAGAGAAAAACCTGGAACATAGCACACATATTATTCATGGGAAAGTATTTGCTCTGGTATGAATGGATAGTGACAAAAATAGAAGTTAGACTTGCTCAGAAAGTTATTTGTTATCATTTTATAGCCATAGGAACAGAGGTGGTAGAAAATTAAGTAACTGCAATGAAAGATGAGTAACACGTGACTTAGTAGGGTGGAATTTACCTTAGGAATATTTCAGGAAATTTGATCCTACACAATTCTTCTCTGCTTAAACAAAGTACTCCAAATTATTGCATTTTTTTCAGTAAGGAAATTCCCTTTCTCAACATCACCTACAAATGAATTTTCCCTCCTGGGCGAAGAGAACCGAACACATTTCAATTTAAACTTCTAAAATATTAGAATTTGGGGCTGAAGAAAAAAAGTCAGAAGGTCCTGAGCTCAATTTTGGGTTAATTGCTTCCCAACTTACTTTGGAATTCAATATCAATCACTCAGCATTTGTGTGTTTATGTGTGTGTGTGTGTGTGTGTGTGCACGCACACGCACTCAAGCATGCTTCATATCTGTAACCTGAAAATATGTAGTGGAAAAAGTGTCTTGCTTGCTGCAGAGAAATTCTGTATCTAAGAAGAGACTACATCAGTGCTCAGAGTAGCTTTCTTTGGAAAGAACTCAATAAAGACTTAACTCAAGTTCAAGCCTTCCTTTAATTAAGTAATTCATTTTAAAATGAATAGGTGACTTCCTTTCAAAAATTAAGGTATGGAGAAAATATATATGTGGTTAGACATTTCAACACCCAGCTCTCACCAATGGACAATCAATGAGGCAGAAGAACATATATTTTCCTCAAGTGCACACATGGGTCATTCTGTAAGACTGAGCATATACTGGGTCAAAAGACAAGTATCAGCAAATTCCTAAGATTCAACTCATACCAAGTATCTTCTGACCATAATGGTACTGAATTACAAATCAGTTACAAGAAGAGAACAAGAAATACTCTAATACTGGAGACTGAATAACACACTGCTGAATGACTGGGTTAATGAAGAAATCAAAGAAGAAATTAAAAAAAAAAACCTTGAGAAAAATGATGAGGACACAAACTTTCAGAATGTCATAACACAATCAGCATTAAGAATAAGTATATAGCAATAAGGTCCACATTAAAAGAGCCCAAATAAACAACATTGTCTCTCATCTGCAGGACTAGAAAATTTATATAATGTAAAATATATAAACAATGTAATGTAGTATATAATGTAAAATATATAATATATAATAAATACTATACTATATACTATATATACTATATATACTATATATATACTATATATAATAAATATATATAGTATTAGTTAAAGCTAAGATATATATATATATATATATATATATGTGTATCTACAAACCCAGTAGAAGGAAGGAAATAACAAAAACTAAAGCAC